GCTCTGGGGGTTGGGCGGCTCGGGGGCTGCTGCCGTAAGCTACTACTGCTGCTATGACTGCCGCCGCCGCCGCGTGTAAAATCCATTTTGAATGCCGGTACATCTGCGCGTGACTCGGGGCTTAATAAATATTTTATAAACGTTATCAAGAGGAGTAGTAAAAAGTCTGGCTTCGTCGGTGGTGGTAGTGCTCCCGCGTGACATATATACACGCACATACACAGATCGACGACGACGACGACGACGACGAGGAGAAAGAAGAAAGCTAACAATCGAGCCGTGTCATTGCTGCCGCTGTAACTGCACCTCAATTTCTCGCCTTTTATAACTCGAAACAAGTGCTTCGGCCAACAACTTTGCGTATTCATAAAAAGCTAGCTCTCCTACTCCTGCAGCGTCAGTACGCCATTCTCGTCGTTACATCGCTGCTGCTGCTTTATACATATACAGCTATGCTATACGCATACCGTAAACACGCTCTTGAACGCCCGAACAAATTTCCCTTGAGTTTCGAATTGCCAAGCAGCAGCAGTAGCAGTAACGGCGGTAATAGTAGTACCGCTGCCGTCGCGCGCGCGAGCTCACGTAGACGAGCGAAATTCTTAATCAAATCAGTCGGATTTTCTTTTTTAATACAACAACGCCGAGGCGAGCGAGGCCGCGGCGCGCGTTTATAATATGCACGACGCGAGAGCTTGCGAGCGAGATTATCTTTCACGCGCGCTAGTGAGAGGGAGAGCTGCTGCTGCAGTGGAGGCCGCAAAGCCACTCGTGTGTATGAGAGTGTGTATGTGTTTGCTTGTGTACGAGGGCATTATCAAGCGATCGCGCGCGAGAACGTTTACTGTACCAATACCCCACGACGCCCGCGAGATACCGTTATTATTATACGTAAATATCTTGTACGTAAACATGTACATTTGTATGTAATACGCGATGCGTTATCGCGCGAGGTGTATAACGAAGCGTAAAACGACGTGTGCTTTTGGTTTCCCTGACGCCAAAGTCGAAGTGCAGGACTTTTCCGAGCGAATTGATTTCGAAAAAAATAAATAAAATAAAAATAATAATAACGCTGGCTCGTGTGGATAGAGCTCGACGAGCCGCAAGCTCTGTTGAGCTTTAATCTCCGATGCTTGCCACGATTTATCCACTAACACACGGTCTGGACGGTATCGTATTTTTCTTTTACCTTTTTTTTTATTTTGGTTGCTCCGAGAGGAAAGCTCTTGTGCGATGGACTCGAAAACAAATTTTTGTACCGGGTGTTGTAGAAAAGAATCGAAATAAGCGATGCCGCAGAAACTTAATTTTTGTTTTTTTTTTCGTTGGGCTGAAGTAGATGTTGAAAACGTTCGAACATTTTAAAATTTACATGCTGAAAATGAAAAGTATTCTTTTTTAAATGTTTTGAATTGTTTTTTATATCCTATATATTACTCCTTGAAAACTTTTTAAACGTTTTTGCGTCCCCAATTTTTCTGATTTCGATTTCTAAAAAAAAAAGAAAAAACATATATATACATATATGTATATATTATATAATATATCTATATATTATATATAATATATATGTACATATATGTACATATATGTACATATATATATATATATGGGTCAAAATAATACTTTTTTACAAAACCGTGCGCACGTATATCACCGATCTTGACGCGCTTTTGGCATGTTATAGTACATGGTAAAAAGGTCCCAAAAAAAAATTTTTAGACCCCCTCCCCCCTCCTACCCCCCACTTCCGGTATAAACGTCCATTTTCGATCTATATTTTTTCTGAGGACATGAAGCAAGTAAAAAATCTGAAAAAATTCATAAAAATACTTTTCCACAATCCAAACAACCTTGAATTTTTTCAGATTTTTTGAGTGCTTCAGGCCTTCAGATAAAATCATTGAAAATTTCAAAAATCGAGATACGGCGGTATGAGCCGATGTAGTACTCGGAAATTTTTTCAGTTATTTTTCGCATTAAAAAACATAACCTCAATTTTTTTCAGATTTTTTCAGATTACCTAACGCACCTTTTGAAGCCAAAAACCGATTTTTTTGACGAAAATAATTTTTTTAGGACAGTACGGAGCCTCGAAAAATCTGAAAAAAATTTTTTCTTGTTTTTTTCATCAAAATACGTAATCTCAAATTTTTTCAGATTTTTTAATTGAAGGCGATAGCTTCTAGGGCCGAAAAATGCTATTTTTAACAAAAAATGGTTCCTAGAACCCGATGGTTCCGGTGAAAAAATTTGAAAATATTTTTTTTGAATTCCTTGTCAAATTTTAATAAATTTTGACCGTTTCAAAAGTTCGATTGAAGCTTCCTAGCTCATTTTAGAGCAGGACAAAGATTAGTGCAAAATATCTGAAGACGTTTCTGAAGACATTAAGGAATGATAAAACTCGTTTGATGCTCTAAAATGAGCTAGGAAGCTTCAATCGAACTTTTGAAACGGTCAAAATTTATTAAAATTTGACAAGGAATTCAAAAAAAATATTTTCAAATTTTTTCACCGGAACCATCGGGTTCTAGGAACCATTTTTTGTTAAAAATAGCATTTTTCGGCCCTAGAAGCTATCGCCTTCAATTAAAAAATCTGAAAAAATTTGAGATTACGTATTTTGATGAAAAAAACAAGAAAAAATTTTTTTCAGATTTTTCGAGGCTCCGTACTGTCCTAAAAAAATTATTTTCGTCAAAAAAATCGGTTTTTGGCTTCAAAAGGTGCGTTAGGTAATCTGAAAAAATCTGAAAAAAATTGAGGTTATGTTTTTTAATGCGAAAAATAACTGAAAAAATTTCCGAGTACTACATCGGCTCATACCGCCGTATCTCGATTTTTGAAATTTTCAATAATTTTTTCTGAAGGCCTGAAGCACTCAAAAAATCTGAAAAAATTCAAGGTTGTTTGGATTGTGGAAAAGTATTTTTATGAATTTTTTCAGATTTTTTACTTGCTTCATGTCCTCAGAAAAAATATAGATCGAAAATGGACGTTTATACCGGAAGTGGGGGGTAGGAGGGGGGAGGGGGTCTAAAAATTTTTTTTTGGGACCTTTTTACCATGTACTATAACATGCCAAAAGCGCGTCAAGATCGGTGATATACGTGCGCACGGTTTTGTAAAAAAGTATTATTTTGACCCATATATATAAATATATATATATATCCAAAAAATTGGTCGTTTTTTACGATTTCGCACGTTTTAAGCCTTTTTTTACATTTTTTACACATTCTTCTTTTGTGGCGTGCACGTTCTGGCCTCTGTTGGAACTTCTTCGGGAAATTTTTTTTTCTCCTGCTCTCGCGGATGAGTTTGTGGTGGAGATCTTGAACGCGTCGACCTGGTGCACCGAGTCCCCGTTCTGGCACCTGTTGAAACTTCTTCGGGGAATTTTTTGGTTCTCCTGTTCTCGCGGATGAGTTTGTGGCGAAGAACTTGAACGTGTCGACCTGGTGCACCGAGTCCCCGTTCTGGCCCTCGTTGGAACTTTTTCGGGGAATTTTTTTGTTCTCCTGCTCTCGCGGATGAGTTTGTGGTGGAGATCTTGAACGCGTCGACCTGGTGCACCGAGTCCCCGTTCTGGCACCTGTTGAAACTTCTTCGGGGAATTTTTTGGTTCTCCTGTTCTCGCGGATGAGTTTGTGGCGAAGAACTTGAACTTTCTTTTATTTGTTGATTCTAATAAAAATTCATTAATCCCATATTCGAAAACAATATATCAAACTAGACTTTCGAACAAGAAAAAAATGTACATTTGAAAATTATTCTTTATCTTAAAGTAATGTAAACGAAAAAGCCATTAATGTTTATGAATTAATTTTAATATGACTGACCAAAGGGCTTTTTTCAATATAACCTTTTTCTTTCTTTTATTTGTTGATTCTAATAAAAATTCATTTATCCCATATTCGAAAACAATATATCAAACTAGACTTTCGACCAAGAAAAAAATGTACATTTGAAAATTATTATTTATCTTAAAGTAATGTAAAAGAAAAAGATATTAATGTTTATGAATTAAAAGCAGACAAGTTAGTTTATTTAAGTATATAATTACAGATAAGTCAAGTGAACGGGTACAATGATCTTGAGTATTTGTCTGTATTCTGTGAAAGATTTTCATCGCTAAAATGAAAATTAAAAAATTCATAATAAAAAAAGAATCGAAAATTAAAGTATAAAGATTGTCGTTCTCAGGCCATGGAAATTTTTTATCAGAAACCTTTATTATGTCGACTATAGCGTAAACGATTGCTTTCTTTAAGGAAACACACCTGTGTTTATGCCTATAAATGCAAAAGCATGAAAATTAAGGATTAATATTAAAATTTTTTGTTTCGGAAGATAACATATGTTTTTGCAGGTTTTTGTACAAAAAAAAATATGTCTGTGGATCTTATTATTATTATAATTCATCCAGGATACATATATATTGACTTGTAATCTTTAAGTCCTTGTCAAGATGATTTTGATAATATTTAATCAATATTTAATCAATGATCCTTTAGGTCTCAAAATTTTTATAATTAAATTCTTTTCCACTCAAGTGTAGCAGATTTTTTATTTAGTTATTTTTTAAATCTACTAATCTCCAAATTTTTCATAGACCTATTTCGACGTACAAATTAAAGCCCTTTTAGAAAGTCACTGTGCTATATTTAAGACGAGAAGGAGAAATGATGTTTCGTTAAGTTAAATCTATCAAGTTCTTGGGTTATTTTGTATTCAATGAATCATGACCAATTACATAATATATCGATAAACATGATTCTATTATATTCTATTATGTTTCAACATCTAAATTTGTTCAAAATTTAAATATTTCATAAATATGTCTTATAATATTCTTACTCCTCCAATATTTCTTACAATTTCTTTGAAACAATCTGAGACCGAGCGAGCGTTAGCGAGCGAGGAACGCCGCTAGTTTAAATTAATTAATGGAAGAAAGGTGAGTAGAAGGTTTTTTATAATTACAACAAAATTAATGACAGTTTGAAATGGTTTATTATTAAAGAAGAAATTAAAGGATATTTATGAGAAAGATTTTCCAAAATTATAGAAAGTATTCGTGTAATTGCGTCCAATTGTCTCCGGACAAATCTCACACTATCAAATTTTGGTACAATCACGAACTACGTTAATGTGAGTTTTGAATTTCGAATCTCTCATTCGAAAGGTTTGCTCCGATCATGTGCTGCTTTTATGTGACGCTTGAGGTGACTTTTTAGTCCAAATGATTTGTGACAGACATCACACTCGAAGGGTTTTTTATGCATATGTACTGTATCTATGTGAATTTTGAGTCGACTTTTATGTTCAAATGGTTTGTGACAAATGTCACACTCATTGGGTTTTTTATGCATATGTACTGTATTAATGTGAAATTTGAGGGTATACTTCCGGTCAAATGATTTGCTACAAATGTCACATTCGAAGGGTTTGCTCCGATAATGTACTGCATTTATGTGCCTATTCAGAACCTTCAGTATTCCAAATGATTTGTGACAAATCTCACACTTGAACGGTTTGATATTATTATGTACTGTCATAATGTGACTTTTGGTTAGTTGCGGGTATCCAAAGGATTTATGACAAATGTCACACTCAAATGGTTTGCTCTTATAGTGAACTGCGTTTATGTGAGTCTTTAGCTGGCTTTGGTATCCAAATGATTTGTGACAAATCTCACATTCGAAGGGTCTGCTACGATTATGTAATGTATTTTTATGAATTTTGAGATCACTTTTTTGTCTAAATGATTTCTGACAAGTGTCACACTCAAAGGGTTTGCTAAGACTATGTACTGAACTCACGTGTTTCTTCAATATACTCTTGTATGAAAATAATTTGTGACAGATTTCACATTCTATGGGCTTGCCGTCGTGTACAGTCATTACATGAGATTTAAGGTTACCTTTGCATCCAAATGATTTGTGACAAATTTTACATTCGAAGGGTTTACCTTGATTATTCACTGAATTTCGGTGTACAGTTAAGTTACTTCTTTGTGAAAATAATTTGTGACAAAAATCACATTCATACGGTTTATTGCTCTTATGTGTCGTATTGATTTTCGTTGTTGTACTCGCTTCTCCATCATAAGATTTTTCACACACATTAAGCTTATGAAACGACTTGGTTTCATTCCTTTTTGCCAATATTTTTTTCTTTTCCGATTCGCCAAATTCATCGTTCAAGTAATTTGTCTGAATTTGGTTTTCTACTTTAAGAAGGGTTTGAACATTTTGATACTCGGATTTGCAGTTTGTTTCCGATTTAGACTTCAGTTCAAATTTAACATCTTTGCATTCAAAATCAATGAATATTTTTCCATCGATGTCATTGATCTGATTTTCGTTCTCAATTTTCACAATAGGTAGACTATTTTGATATTCAGTTTTGCAGACGGTTGCCAATAAAGGCTTTAGTTCAGTTTTAACATTTTTGCACTCAAAGTCAACGAATATTTTTTTATTCGACTTTTCGGATAACGCAGTTGCTTCATTATCGTGATTTGCCTACAAATTAAAATTATGGTAATAGTTTTGTATAATTGAAAAACAGAAAATGATTTGAATCATTAAACTCACCGATGATTCATAAAACGACGAGGTTTCAAAGTTTTCGGTTTTGCAAGAGCCCACTGAATCCAACATATTATCATCGCCTGCATCTTTCGGTTCTTCCTTCACTCTGGAGAATTAACAAACAATTGATTAACCGATCGCTATAAACAATATCATGGCATCAACGAAAAAAAAAGTAATACCTAATTATGTCCTCTATGTTTTCCATCACTCGTTTGATTATGTGTAATCGCTGTAAATTTTCACGATATACTCCGAAAAAATATTTGAGGTTAAACACCACGAGTAGCCAACAGCACTGTATCTCGAATACACCAATTCGTAAACACTTGCTCACTGAGGAATTCCTCCGACCGAACGCACTACTCGTGTAAAATTAGCGAGGTTATTCTGTGATTTTGATATAGCTCCTTAGAGATACTTTCCCCCTCTACCGTCGACTATCTGTAAGCAGTAATGTATTGTCATGTGCAATGCATAGAGACAATCGCTAAAATTATGCCGAAATTACAATGAAAATGTCATTCATCTAGGTGCAAAAGAGAAGTATATTTCTAAATTCACAACGATACAGTACATTCTCGCATAGCACACGTGACTTTAAGAAGGAAATTCAATAGTAAAAATGTGATATTTGCATTAATTTCGTTTGAGAAGAATTAAAATCAATAAACGAATTAATGTTTTTACCCGTTGAATTTCTTTATAATTACTCGGCGATAGATGATGGATTTGAAAAACTCCCAGCTCAGTCCTAAGCTACATTTGCAAAAAAAGTTCTACGGACCTTTTTACGTGAAATTGCTCAACATTTCAGAAAAAAATACTTCGGCATGTCAGTCTGGTCTGCTCTATCCGATCCGAGCAGTTTGAGAGCTCGCTACAACGGAGAAAAACATAAAAATCAAATTCGAAGCAAGTTCCGTCCGGACTTTCACGCATCGAAAAATTTACAGAACTCTCTTATGCAGTATGAACTAATACCGCCTAAATTTTTATGATGGGCTGGGGTGGATTAAAAGAAAAATTGTCATAATTTTTCGCTAGCGCGTGTCGGATCGATTCAGAGTCGCGTATAATTACGCGAGGATTATAAAAAATCCAGTAGCCAATTAAAAGCTCGACCTCCAGTCACAGCTCCTAACAAGATGTAAAACAAATTCTCGGCCAATCGTTGCGCATGGGGAGCTGCCGAAACCAAGTAGCCGAAAAATTCACAGAGCGTAGTAATTAGTAGCACGCGAAATCCGGTTCAAAAGTAGAATACCACCTCGTCGAAACCCACGAGTAAAGGTGTAATTATAATTGATATAAAATAAGACTTAATCATTTCGGAAAATTTATTATTGAATTATTAGAAAAATATCTATTCATACATATTAACATTGACAATGATGAAATCATCGCTATTCTCCGAGAAACTATTCAAAGCACATGACTGCAATAAGCTTTAGCCATTCCTGTAGATGCGTTACTTATAAAAACTTTTACTTATAAAAACTTGATTATAATCTGACGTACGATTGGATGCGATTGCGCATATTTGAAATTGAAAGACGCTTAAAATTTCTTTACCACTATTCATTAGAATTCATGTGCTTGTTCACTTATTCTTCATAAATTGAGATATTTAGCGGTTTTATTAAAAAATAATTCGTACATTTTATGAAAAGTTTTTCAATGTCAATTCAAATTCTATAGTACCAAATTTATTTTCGCACTTTCACTGAGGATAATTTATAAAAAGACCTTCGGGGCTGACTGCAATTTGGTTGGTTGCGCAAATTACATTCAAGTCCAAATTTCTCTTTACACTTGTCATTTGTGGACTGTTTTATGGTGTCTAATCAATTTCCCCTTCTCTCCAAATTTCATGTCGCACGTGTCACATGCGTAATCTTTGCGACCATCGTGGACCATCTTTATATGGGTGAGCAAACTCCCTTTTTGTGTATATTTCTTTTCGCACTTGTCACATGCGAAATCTTTTCGACCTTCGTGGATTGTCCATTGGTGTAAAAACAAATTCGATTTTGTTGCAAACTTCTTTTCGCACTTGTCGCATGCAAAATCTTTACGATTTTCATGGACTATTTTCTGGTGTCTGACCATATACGATTTATCTGCGAATTTCTTCTCGCATTTATCACACGCGAAATCTTTACGTTTTTCATGTATTGACCTTTGGTGGATTAACAAATTCGCTTTTTGTGTAAATTTTTTCTCGCATTGATCGCATGCGTAGTCTTTACAACCTTCGTGAATTGTTTTTTTGTGCATAAACAAATGCGATTTTTTTGCAAAATTTCTCTCGCACTTGTCACATGCAAAATCTTTGCGACCCTCGTGAACAGTTGTTATGTGCTGGAGCAAATGAGAATTGCTCCCGTATTTTTTTTCGCAAAAGCCGCATGCAAATTTGTTGGAACCTTCGTGGATAGTTTTTTGGTGGAAGTTCAAATTCGATTTAGAACTAAATTTCTTCTCGCACTTATCGCATATATGATCTTTACAACCTTCGTGAACTGTTCTTTGGTGCCTAAGTAAACTGATTTTTAGACCAAATTTCTTCTCGCAATTGTCGCATGCGTAATCTCTCCTACCTTCGTGGACTACACGTTGGTGAGAGAGTAAACGTGATTTTCTTCCAAATTTCTTCTCGCACTTTACGCATGCGAAGTCTTTTCGACCTTCGTGGATTGTTTTTTGATGAAAAACCAAATGTGATTTTTGACTATATTTCTTCTCGCACTCATTGCACTCGAAATTTTTGCGAGTCACGTGGACTATCGTTCGATGCCTGGTCAAATCTGTTTTGTCCCTAAATTTCCACTCGCATTTGTCACATGCAAAATCTTTGCGACTTTCATGGACTGTTTTCATGTGCATGAGCAAATTACATTTATGTCCAAATTTTTTCTCGCACTTATCGCATGCGTAATCTTTACGTTTTTCATGTATTAATCTTTGGTGAATTAGCAAAGTATTTTTATGTCCAAATTTTTTCTCACATTTGTCACATACGTAATTTCTCCAACCTTTGTGAACTGTTTTTTGGTGTAAAAGCAAATTAGATTTTCGTTCAAAGGTTTTCTTGCACTCATCGCATTCTAAATCTTTACGACCATTATGGACTGTTGTTATGTTCAAGACTCTCGAGGTGAAATCTTTGCGACCGTCGTGTACCGTCTTTATGTGTATAAGCAAACTTCGTTTATTTCTAAATCTCTTCGCGCACATTTCACATAAGAAATCCTTGAGAACTTCGTGAAATATTTTGTTGTGCTTGAGTAATGTTGATTTATTTTCAAATTTTCGCTCGCACTTGTTGCACGTGAAATTTTCGCGATCTTTATGGACTAATTTTTGGTGCGTGAACAAACTCGATTTTTTCACAAATTTTTTCTCGCACTGGTCGCATACAAAATCGTTGTGACCTCTGTGTACTGTTATTTGGTGTCTACTCAAATGACTTCGGAACTCGAATGTCTTTTCGCATTTGTCGCATTCAAAAATTTTTTGCTTACTGTGAATTGTGTTTCGATGGATTATCATGCTTGATTCTTGTGTAAATGCTTCCTGGCAAATATCACAAACATATTGTTTGTCGTCCATAACAACAATGTCGTGTCCACTGGAATTATTTTCCGAGACAACTTCTTCCGATTTTATTTTACTTGTATCCATTTTGATGTCTAACATAACCGATTTACTGTTACGGAAAATGAATGATTATAACTGATCTTTTGCTATTATGGTTTGTTTCACCGAGTAAGACAACATTCAAACTAATTTGTTTTTACTGTCAACGGTCGATATCAAAATCGTTTCTAATCATAACATCTACAATTAAATTACCTATTTATCTGTTTATACATTATGATTACAATTTTTGAACTGGTTGAAAAGTGGAAATTCGAAACACCGACGTAGAAATCTACGGAGGACCTTTGACTTTTGACCTGGAATGTATACTTTCGAAATGGTAAAGTTTTAGAGAACTTTTTATATTGAATTGATCAAATTTTAGAAGGCACTCTTATGTGCGAAGTACATCGTTAAATAAAAAGTTTGCTAGAATCAAGTAGCCAAATAATGCCCTGAGAGTATTAATTAGCACTACACGAAAGTTTGTCTGGTTCAAAAATAAAATACCAACCCGAAAATAAACTAAAGTGTAATGATAGTTGGAGCGCGATGTTCAAATGAGACACAATCCATATTGAACGCAATTTTTATTAAAATTTCAGAAAAACTTTTAATTGAACATCTATATAAGTTTTCTATATATTTACAATTGGCAAGAAAAAAATCAGCATTTTTCGTTTTTCCACTGATGAAATGCAAGGAGCATACGACTGTAACAAGTACGTGTCATTCGTATAGACAATAAATTATTCATGTAAACTTGATTATAATCTGACGTAAGATTGAGAATTGATGAAAAGGTACTAAGTATACGAATTTGTTATTTAGCACATATTGTTGTAACTCAAAGTCTAAAATATTTTTCATAATCGTCTATGATCGGTCAAATTGATTCTTATTTTTTACATATTTTCGCATGCTAAATTTTGGCTTTCATAAATCAATAAATTATGATGAATAACATTATATTTTTAAGCAATGAAATTATTGTATTTAATCACATGTGCAAAAAACTTCGAGAATTTTTTTTAGGAAATGAATTGAACGATTTATTTTACATCCTAATGCACTCGTCAGATAAGCCATTTATGCCAGTTTTGTAGACAGTTTTTCAGAGCCAGCTTAAATTCAGTTCAAATTTATTCCCGCACTCATCGCATGCGTATCGTTCAGATCTTCATGAAATCTCGTTTGGTGCCTAAACAAATTCCCTTTTTGTCCAAATGTCATCTCGCACTTGTCGCATTTATAATCTTTGTGACCTTCGTGTGTTGTCCTTTGATGCACTAACAAATCCGGTTTTTGTCCAAATTTCTTTCCGCACTTTTCGCATAAGAAATGTTTGTCACCTTCGTGAACAATCTTTTGGTGTGAGAACAAAGATGATTGTCTTCCAAATGTTTTTCCACACCTATCGCATGCAATATCTTTACGCTTTTCGTGTATCGTCTTTTGGTGGTCGAGCAAATGTGATTTTCTACCAAATTTCTTCCCGCATTCATCGCAAACGTGATCTTTGCGACCTTCGTGTACTATCTTTTGGTGCAAATACAAAGTCGTTTTGCGTCCAAATTTCTTCTCGCACTTGTCGCACGCGAAATCTTTGCTACCTTCATGCACTACCATTTGGTGCTTCAACAACTCAAATTTACTTCTCAATTTCGTCTCGCAATTATCGCAAGCAAAATCTTTGCGTAATTCGTGCACCGTTTTTTGGTGGGCAACCAGATTACATTTTTGTCCAAATTTTTTCTCACACTTGTCACAGGCAAAATCTTTCCGACCTTGGTGGACTGTTTTCTGGTGTCTGATCAAATACGATTTATTGACGAATTTTTTATCACAGTTTTCGCATGGGTAATAATCTTTTCGACCTTCATGGACTGCCATTATATGCATGAGCAAATGATTTTTTTGTGTAAATTTCTTCTCACACTTGTCGCAAGCGTGATCTTTTCGACCTTCATGGACTGTCTTTTGGTGCAAAAGCAAAGTCGATTTAAATCCAAATTTTTTTTCGCAATGATCGCAAGCATAATCTTTAGAACCTTCGTGGACTGTCTTTTGGTGCTTCAACAAATCTGAATTTCGTCCAAATTTCTTTTCACACTTGTCGCATGCAAAATCTTTGCGACTTTCATGGACTGTTTTCATGTGCATGAGCAAATTACATTTATGTCCAAATTTCTTCTCGCACTCACTGCATGCAAAATCTTTCCGACCTTCGTGTATTAGCCTTTGGTGGGTAAGCAAAGTCGTTTTCCTCCCAAATTTATTTTCGCACTTGTCACACACAAAATCTTTTCGACTCTCGTGGACTGTTTTTATGTGCAAGAGCAAATTACATTTATGTGCAAATTTCTTGTCACACTTGTCGCATGCGTAGTCTTTACGATTTTCGTGTACTGTCCTTTGATGCGTCAATAAATGAGATTTTGATGTAAATTTCTTCTGACAATTGTCACAAACGTTATTCTCAAAGACTTCGTGTACTGTATTTAGATGGCCGACCAAAGTCGATTTTTTCCCAAATTTTTCCTCACACTTATTGCTTGTGGAGTCTTTCTGACCTTGATGGACTGTCTTTTGGTGTCTTCTTAAATGCGATTTTTCTCCAAATTTTTTCTCGCAATCGTCGCATGAGTAATCTTTGAATAATTTGTGTACTGTCTTTTGATGAAAAAGCAATTGCGATTTTTGACCAAATTTCTCTCCACACTTGTCGCATAAGTAATCTTGGTGATGCTCGTGTACCGTCTTTATATGTGTGAGCAAATTCTGTTTGTTTACAAATCTCTTCGCACACTTTTCACATAAAAAGTCTTTGAAAACATCGTGAAATATTTTGTTGTGCTTGAGTAAAGTTGCTTTATTTTCAAATTTTTTCTCGCACTTGTTGCATGAAAAATTGTCGCGATCTTTGTGCACTAATTTTTGGTGCGTAAACAAACTCGACTTTTTCAAAAATTTTTTCTCGCATTGGTCGCATGCAAAATCGTTGTGGCCTTTGTGTACTGATATTTGGTGTCTACTCAATTGACTTCGGAACTCGAATGTCTTTTCGCACTTGTCACATGCAAAATCTTTTTGCTTAATGTAAATTGTGTTTCGATGAATTATCATGCTTGATTGTAGAGTAAATGTTTTCTGACAAATATCACTAACGTATTTTTTGTCGCCTGAAACAACAACATCTTGTTCACGCGAGTTATCTTTTGAAACGATTTCTTCGAATTTTCGTTCACTTGTATCCATTTTGGTGCCTAGATTAAACGATTTATTCTTCTACTTCAGAAAGTGAACGAGTACAATTTTCCTCGTGTTATTATGGCTTATTTCATCGGGAAAGGCAACATTCAAACTAATTTGGTTTTCCTATAAACATAATTAGTATTCTATTGACGATATGAAAATCGTTGTTTACAATCAAGTCAGCAATTTATTTGTTTATTTATGGTCCTTAATAATTAAAAGCGTCCCATTTTGTTATACATTAAGACAATCAAATTTTCAGAATGCTTTATATCAATGTAATTTTTTCTTAGATTGTCTTAAAAATAAATAATCAAACCCTTAACACACCAACCTAAATACAAACCACCCCGAAAAACAACTACCAAGCGATAAAAGTAGAGAGTATATAAAGAAAAAAAGATAATAACTGATTGCCTGCTACCTACTTTACATATGCACAGGAAAAAACTCGATGCCTTTCTCTCCTCTCTGTGCGCAGCATCGCAGAAGCAGTCCCGAGTTTATATCCAGTACCTATCGACGAAATGTGTGTGTGTGCATATGCAGTGTGTATCCATTTCTCGAAGCCCAGGCAAGGAGAACGAGGCAATTTTTTAGTGCTCGGCAGTGCGGTATATTATTCTTTTGTTTCGTTACTTATTCCGATGCAGCAGCAGCAGCAGCAGCAGCAGCACAGCAGTATCGCTTCATCACTCTATATCCTATTTCGAACGCGTGGTATAACCTCGCGCTCACTCTTAATATATGTGTAGCGCGTTACAACGACGTCGAGGCTCCTGAATATTATTATATAAAAGTATAGTTAAACAAGGTAGAAAATTTTTTCCCCTTTCTTTTTTTTTGTTATCTCGCGCCAGAGTTAGTATAGTAGGTAAAATGCCTCGACATGCCGCCGCTATATGTGTATACACGACCAGAGCGCAACGTACGCCAACAACAACGTCACACATTGATATCGTCGTGTGTTATGTACTACTACGTAGGTGCATGCCGTATGTGCACCGCTGTGCGTATACGCAAATGGGATTACCGAAGCTTACCTCGTGCGCTCTCGCTACTGCACTGCCGCTCGCACTGGCTCTGGCTCTGCTCCGTATTTAAAAAAAAAAAAAAAAAAAAAAAAGTAAAAAACCCCTGTTATTGTATACCCACGCGTTGCTGTACACAGGAGTAAAGGACAACGCAACGTTCGGGCGCGTGTAACGATACCGTTGCGCGCGCTGCGATGAAAAAAAAAACATCGCGTCGTAATATCGCGCCCTATATAGCGTCAAGCTCTTATACGTACGCGCGCTTAATTTTTAATAATCGCGAGCCGCTCAAAGAGAGGGAGAGAGGGACGAAAAGAAAAAAAATATTGCGTAATTTACACCGCTACGTAATCTCTCTCGCTCGTGTGACGATACGACTTTTAATGCCCGCAACCCCCGCCAATATGTTACTCTCTCACCTTTTTTTTCCACCTCGCCACGTTATTATTATTCCCCCGAAAGAAACGACGTGCGTACGGCGCGCGCCTTATATATTATGCTTATACTACTGCACCATAGGACGTAAAATAAATTTGAATTTCTTCCAGCGGCAGCTCTACTTACTCTCATTCATTCTTATTTCGTGCTTCTTTTCGCAGGTAACGTGTTCGTTATCGCGGCCATACTGCTCGAGCGCAACTTGCAGAGCGTGGCGAATTATCTGATACTGTCGCTGGCCGTGGCCGATCTCCTCGTCGCCTGTCTCGTCATGCCTTTGGGTAAGAACGTCATTTATTACTTTGTATAATACATGATAAATTAAAAGTATTAATAATAATAATAATAATAATAATGATTTTGTAATTCCTTTCGTTAAGTTATGCGCGAACTTGTAAATTGTAATAGCCCTACAGCAGTCACCCCCCGCCGACACGCATTCTAAAAGTTTTGATACACAATCTAAACTTTTCACCGCGCGCGGGCCCGCATGTACGATATGCATACATGCATGTAATAATACTTTACCTCGAAGATTATTAGAAAGCGTTATTGTGTATTTTCAAACGATCGCTCGAGCGTCAAATTTCGATCGTCGCTGATACGATCTTTTTGGTTTTCGATGATACTATACTAAATCAGATACACGCGTTATACAGCTGTAATCTCGGCGTTTAGACGCGATAATGACCCCTCGCGAAAATAATCCCTTTTAAACCATTATCGCGTAATATATAGATGCGCGCGCGTGTTTGTGTAGAAACAGTCGTTTTAGTGAAGTATTGTTGGCAGGAGCTCTGTACGAGGTGGCCCATGAATGGGCTCTCGGTCCGAAGTTATGTGACATGTGGACCAGCAGTGATGTATTATGCTGCACTGCATCCATTCTGCATCTCGTCGCCATTGCCCTCGACAGGTTGGTTAACGATACACACGTACACACGCATGCATACATTTTATACATACACGGACACACGTCCATGCATCTTTTTCAATAGTCTAATATATAAACTGGGCTGTTGTCGTTGTTGTTTTCTTTCTGTGTCGTTTAAGCTATTGTGTAGATACGTGTGTATAGATACGTGTGTGTGCCCAGACCTCTTCATTTTCGCATCTATTTTTTTGATCAAGGCCTGATGGGCGCACGAGGCTTTTATGATACAAAGGTAGCCTGAGAGAGAGGGAGCGAGAAGATCGCGTGTGGCTTGCTCTTGACACCGATATATCATCTCTCTCTCTTCTTTCAATGCATGATTAAAACGTCCAGGCGCGATTTATTCTTCGTTTTTTTGTTTTTTTTTGGGGGGTACGAAGGCTTTGCTTTGCTTTCCACACACACACATACAGACTATGCGACACACTTGTATACGATCTCTCACAATGGGCTCGTGCGCGCATTCTAATTTGTGTTTTACGAGCTTTCGGGCGCATATACGGCGCGGGCCTGGCCTCTCCCCCTCCGGAACGATAATGTCTTGGACGATTAATTGCGCAAAAAGCTTTATGATAATTGCCATTTGCACAATGGGCGCAATGCGTATGATAATGCGCGCCGAATAATAAATTAATGGATTATAATATTTCACGCTGATCGCGACGATCGAAACTTTGATTTTTTTTTCTTCTTCTTCTAAATCTCTTTTATGGCAAAAAAACATGAAATCAAATCGTTGGGACGGTGTGGCTTGCTCGACGCGATGATGAAATGAAAATGATTACAGCGCGATTTTAAGAGTAACACAGAGTCATCGTGGTATATAATGTTCTATAATGGCCATTAGATGTCGCGTGCCATTCCGCAAACGATTTACTCGTGGCAATGTATAAAATGAACGCCAATAAATACACTATTAAATTATTCGAGCTCTTCTTATAATCTATAGTTTTAACATCCAAATGTGGTCTTCATATACTATGTTGTTTATTTTACTGTCTCCTTTGTACATTATAATCGAAAAATTAATTTTATTCTGCATTTTTGAGAAAAGCCAGACAAGATCTAAAAGAAATCGTCTTTATCTTTCTTTGAAGCTGATGTTACGCACGCGTAACGATTCGTTGAATTCAACGACCGATCGAAACTACAGTAAAAATGAACATTAACAAACCTGCTTTCAGAAATTTAATATGATCGATTTTTTCAAAAAACAAAGGTATAGCGTCGTCTTAACTCGAAAAATGTAAGAAAAATATTAAAATAAACGATCCATTTTTTAAGCTTGGATAAGTCAACTTATAATGATGCAACATGACTATAATGATAATTCAAAAAATTCTGTGCGTTTACAATTATTACAGTCGTACGATATCTCGATACAACAATACCGGCGCAATTTTTAGATCGATACTTAGTGTTTTTAGTCACATAATGTTAATGCCAATTATGACTATGAGATGTCGTGCACCTTTGCGTAAACGACATAGTCAACCCGTTCTTACATAAAGTTCAAGAACTCAAGGTATCCGCCATAAGTCCTTTTTTTGTTCTCTAAATTGGCTGTATAGAAATAATATTAGCTCTTATATTTGTGGAATTCGCGAAAGTTATTAAAACCTTGAAAAAAAATTTCTATAACAGCTACCGAGCGGACGATGAAAGAGGGAAAAATTCATCAAGGTCTCTCAAGGTCGAGATGGAAAAATTGTCTGTACGCTTGTTGAATAAAATTTGACACACCTACAAAACCGAGATGATAGTTTACAAATTTGTGAACAACAAATTTATAAATATTTGTCCGAACTGAGGAAATTTTAAACACGTCGTATAGTGTCGAAACTAACTAAAATTTTATAACAATTAATATAATGAACGGTGTATTTTTCTAAAGCTCGATAAAACTACGCGACTCTCGGTACAATAATAAAATGACTCTGAGAATCTACAGTCATCTCTCTACGTTGGTACCAACAATGACCACTAGATGTCGCATGCCTTTCTATAAACGATTTGGTCGACCTGCTCTTATATAACATTACATCGCGCGTAATGTTATATTCTGGGCGCCTTACTAAGGTTTATAAATGGAGAAAAGAATCTGTCGGATATTTTTCGCGACGATGTACGCCGCAGCGCACGGCTTTTAAAATCGCAATACCGATTGGATCGTCGACACCATGATGATGCTTGTGTGCTGCCACTCAGTCGATTGGATTCGTACATACATCGGATCTCTCACGCAGTCACGTACATACATATATCGAGCGCCTTCGCTTACTTCGATATTCATCGAGTATTTTTTTTTTTTTCGTCGAAAAATAATAATTACCTCGTATACACCCGGTACATACACTCGCTCGAGATGCGCGACATTACGTTCTTAATCTTCGGCCGAGTTCGACGCGATCAAACTTCGTCGCGCACAAAGCATTACAATCCTCTATATAATACAGCAGCTTTCGATATATATATATATATATAATCCGCGCAGACACACACATACGTGCACACGTGCTCTCAACTCGAAGGCAGCCGAGAGAGAGAGAGAGGAACTTTTGTGCCACGCGCTACACAGTCGGATTTCAAAACGTTTCTCCGCGTTTACAGCGATGTCGAAAAATTCACTATACTCTCTCTCTCTCTGGGCACAGAGGGAGCGAGAGAGTGGCAACGCGATTCAATTTCACCGCCTCTTTGTACGTTCAATCAAATAGATTCGTATGCAGCTCGCAAGCTCGCCGGCACGAAACTCTCCGTGCTCTGCAGTGTGAGCGTGTGTGGGTATGTGTGCGTGTGTACGGAATCAATCTTTTAAAGTCATGTGTGCCGCTGCTACTGCGCGAGCTTTACTACTGCCGCTGACTCGCGTAAAAATTGCCCGTTTAACCATTACGGTGCTTGTATATCGTAAATAAAATAAACATTTAAATTTTTTTTTACCCTCGATTTTTGTTGTTGCTGTTGTTATTGTTATTGTCGTCGTACTGTTGATTCCAGCCGTATATTACGTGTATAGTACGAGCGCCCATGTAACCGCGCGACGATTTTCAAACTTACAATGTCGCATGTGCGGCAGCGGCAATAGTAATGGCAGCAGTAGTTCGCCACACGTAACCAATGCGGCTTTTTCTTTTTTTTTTTTTTTTTCATCGATTGATATTACGCACGTCGAATGCGCGATTTTTTCGAAATGTTTTTTTTCCTCTCTCTCTCTTTTTTCGGTCGGAATCGTTATACGCGCGTGCCCAAGAGAGCAAGAGCAAGAGAAATAATTTTTAACCAGTATTCAGTCGAAGTAAAGTCCATAAATTTGATTTTCGCTCGATAGAAATTTTTGTTTATTATTCGGCGCAGTGTTTCATTCCCTCCCTCGGCCTCCGTCCCTGCCCGAACGCAGTACGCGCGATAGTATCAACACATTGTATTACTCACGTATGTACAATTTTTCATATATACGCGTGTACCAACAAGCGGATTACTGCTGCTGCTGCTGCACCTATACCCACGCGGAGTTATACACCAATACGCGCGCGTGGGGGTGATATAGGAGGAGGAAGAGGGAGAGAAAGATCAGAAAAGGTTTTTATTTTTTTAGATATTCTTTCGTTTATACGCTGCCGCCGTTACAACGCCTTTTTACGATTTCGAAATATACTTCATCTCTATTATTCGCTACTGCCGCAAGCTCTGGAGCTTGCGAAGAATCCGCCGAAAATTTTCTTGCACTACACTGAATTAATCGATTCTGTATCGTTGTATAAAGCAACAAAGCAAAAAAATCTCGCACAGGGAGATGGGTGGACGTAATTTACTTGGGTACACAAGCGAGCGCCTTAAACTATATTATAATAATAATAATGATAATACGTGCGAATGAATACAAACTTTGCGCGCCCGCACCGAGCAAGTTGGTGCGCGTGGAGGAGCTTGCAGCAGCGGCGCAGCTCCGATATGTTTATATAACGAAAGATTGTTTCGATCGGCGCGGAAGATTTTCGTAAATGTATATAACTTTGGAAAATACTTCGGGGGCCGGGCGCGTTTATAAGTTTTATCGCGCGCGAGCGAGCGCATAATACATAAATCGCTATATATACAGGGGAGGATAGCTATATGTGCTGCTGAAGCGCAGTAAAAGTTCGGCATCAGCTAGCTCGGTTTACGCAAACGTTTACCCTCAAAAAAAAAAAAAAAAAAAAAATCGACGGGACACTCAGACACACGCACTCGTTGTTTACATCGGCTATAGTTGACAATTTTGCGTTATTATAAACGTACGTTTTACATAAATAGGTACTGGGCCGTGACGAACATCGACTACATACATCACCGCACGGCCCGCCGAATCGGCCTCATGATCGGCGTCGTCTGGCTCGTCTCGTTCCTCGTCTGTATCGCGCCCCTACTGGGCTGGAAGGATCCCAAGTGGGAGCAGCGCGTCGTCGTGGAGAAGGCCTGCCTCGTCAGCCAGGACATGTATTATCAGGTATGTGTGGCTATTTTTTAAAACAATTTTTAAATGCACGTAACGTACAAATAGCTACGTACGCGCGAACGTAAGTATTGCGTTTACGCAGGCAGAAATTCGCGCGCAGCAGTAATTTGTAAATAATGTAGCGCGTTAATGATAACGCGCGCGGCTGGATGGAGCGCGGCGCATAGCTATGCAACTCGTTGTATCGTGTGTTTGTGTGTTTGTGTGTTGTGTCTGTATATTTCGATGATAAAGCGCGAGAGGATATATCGCGTGCACGGGGAGGGTCCGCGCGGCGCAGCAATTTCAGCTATTATATACAGTATATATAATTTGTAAATTAAGCAGTAAGCGGTGGTGCAGCGGCAACGTCTTAATTATTGCGCAGTTACGCAAATGATGTAAGCTTACGTTTTGCACTACGTAATGTACACACACACACACACACACATGCATGCATGCATGCAGTAAATAGGAAAACAAAATGTTAGCCTGGATATAACCCTAGGAACTGGGGGGATGGGTATGACCACACACACACACACACACACACACACACACACACACTGCGTACGTAGTACACAACGAAAGATGATATATATACATCTCTATCTGCGTATTCGTGCAGCTGGCATAGTTTAAATTTATATCAGGTTCCACATTCGACGTTGCTGCCGCTGCAGCGCGGATATATCAGATGCTTTGAGAGCTAGAGCTACAGCAGCAGCAGCGACCAGCCGCAGCAGCAATCAGAGACGACGAGGACGACAGTACAGTACAGTAGTACTATAGTAGCTATATACCGCGTTCCGCACGTACGAAATTCTCTCTCTCTCTCTCTCGTCGATTCGGAAGTAAAATCACGAGCTGCTGCTGCGCGAGTGGAGTAGCGGAAAACAGCAGCATTCGTGATTTCTATATATATAATGCCACGCCGCACACGTTTGTCCTTGTACTTATATATATCTCATCAATTGTATCGTCGATGCGAGTTTGTTGTTTGTTGTTGTTATACTCTCACAGTCTGTCTCTCTTTTGCCGCAGATATTCGCCACCGTGTCGTCGTTCTACCTGCCGCTGCTCGTCATACTCATACTCTACTGGCGGATATTCCAGACCGCCCGCAAGCGCATACGCAAGCGAGTGGGCCAGTCGACCGATGCACAACGTAGGTATATATATATAATATATATGTGTGCGTGTAAAGTACGCAAAATCATTCTAATTATAAAGCTCGTCCGCGGCGCGTCGATATAATGATAAGGTAAACCCATCGCGTGCGTACGTACGTCAGAGAATCGAACGCAACGTTCAAGCTCTGTCCGTATATACACATATATAGGAATCATTTTCGGCGCAAATGTATCGTGTGTCGTAAAGGCATGCGGAGTACCGCGCAAAAATATACGTACGCGCGTCACTCTCGTATTTCCCGATCGAAACAACGGCGCGCCAAAGATTACAATCCTCCCGCGCGTCTATAGGTCCGTTTGTCCTTGATACAGTGGTATATAGCTGCATCATCTCCTCCTCGCGCCAAAGGTCGGGATCCTACCCGAGTTGCAGTAGTAGTAGTACACGATCTGATCTCTTACTCTCGCGGGCAACTATTATTATTGTTATATACTATGCGAAAACAACAACAACAAGGACTACTACTAGGACCTAGCCCGAAGCTATATTATTACATATGCTATCTCGGCCGTATATCTATCTTTCGCTCTTATATATACGTAGTTGTAACTTTACGGCATTATAGTTCGCCGTACGAACTATGGGATGTAGTTGTAATACAGCTGCCGCTGCTGCTGCACCTGTATACATGTAGTACGTCCGTGCTGTAAGGCAAGCGCACCGACTCTCTCGGGCGTATGTAATATAACGTATATATAATAATAATAATAATGATATATATATATATATACGAACGGTGTGTAACGCGCGTGGCACGCGTTTATATTGCCTGCGGATCTGGATATGCTCTTGCCGCGCGCGCCACGGAAGCTCCTACTGCCACTGGTGCGCAGTATGGTACGTCACAACAGCTCCACTCTCTCTCTCTTGCAGCAGTGGCCTCGTAAACAAAATGTCCAAGTCGTGTGCAGGCTTGCTCGAACACCACCAAACATGCATATATGCGAGAGAGCTTGCAGCGCGACGCGACGAGCTTGCATGCATGTACTACGTGCTCCGGAGAAACTGCGTGCGGCGTACTGCACCGGGCACACACACGAGCCATCGGTCTCGACTCTCGCGTCGCGTCTCGCTGCAAGCTCGAAACTTTATGAAATATATTATTAATACATTGTAATATATGTACATCGTAACTCCGTCTAGAAACTCGGCCGATGGGAGGTGGCCCGAGCACGGCGACGACGACGAACCTGATGCAGATGCCGAAGCAGATGGGCAGCAGCCACGCGGTCGGCGGCGCCCTGGCCCAGGCGCAGACCAGCGGCGGCATAGCGGCGGCCGTGGTGGCCGTGATAGGCAGGCCTCTGCCCACCATTTCCGGTAACGTGTATATGTAATAATAATAATAATAATAATAATTATAATTGCCATGATATATTTTCAATGTTCAAATATAGTATATTACGTGCCGAGGGAGCGAAAAACTGGAAAGCCTCGGTGCGTAATTATCGGCCGAGGCGAAGCCGAGATTGATAAACGTGTGCTCGGAGGCTTTCTTTTTTCGCTTCATAGGTGTGCGTATAATATTTTTCATGAATCCCCCAGCAGCAATTAACTTTTTCGTTTTGGCCGCAGGGACGAAAAAGTTTAGTTTCGGTTGGTCTAGCGATGATAATATTTTATATTGACATATAGATTTCGGAGACTACGATTTATAAAAGCAGCTCGACCGAATCGTTTGTGGAAAGGCATATACAACATCTAGCGGTCATCATCGGTATATCGAGGCGTATACACAAAGATGACTCGTGTAATATCGCACCTCGAGCTTCGAAGCCCAAGGAGCTGTGCTAGCTTCAATATACAAACTGAATACACACGGCGCGTATTATTATTATTACCCTCCCGAAACATTCGACGCACAATACGTTTATTATATGGGCATAATATCGCACGTTATAATGCCTTATCGGCTCGCGAGTCCGTGTGAAATATAGTATACGATTGTGTATAACAGTCAACGGTGGCGCACACGGGTATATTATTCGTGCAATACGACTGCGCGACATAACGCGAGGAGTTATATATAAAAGAGAGAGAGAGAGAGAGAGAGAGAGAAAGGGACGCGGAAAGGCGACTAGATGATAATAAATGGGGGTGGGCCTCGCGCGCGCACCAGGCCAGTTAACGTTTAGCTACCTTTCTCCGAGCTCGTGTGTATATGCAAAAGCTATATACCAAGCAGGCGACGGTGTATCGGCTTCGATCGTAAATCAGTTTGCCACCCGCTCGCAAGAGTTAAAGTTTAAGCAAATATCGCCGCGACCGGCTCTGTATATCGTACCTGTTTTTTTTTTATTTATTTGTTTATTTACTTATTTTTTTTTATTCGCTTCAAACCAGTGCAGCCTTGACACGGAGGGGAGCGCGTTAATCGGGGCCTCGAGGCTCGTGCTGAAACAGACGCACTGCCTACACAAAAAAAAGCTCGCCTCTTGTATAATGCGTCACTCTTGGACTGCTTGGTTTATAAAAAAAAAGTAATAACAAACCCTCGAAGCGGTACACTTGACTTCATGAAAATGTTATTTTCTTCGCTCGCTCGCTCGCCGATGCTGCTGCTATTGCGTATGTAGCAAAGAAAAAAAAGTTTTGGTTTGCAAACGCGGGCGCGCGCACAACGGGCCATGGCATATACCTCGCGGGTGTAAAAAAATATATGTATGTACGTGTGCACAGGCGCGCGCACACACACGCGCACACATTGAAAATGAAAAATAGACGCTTCGATACGCGAATAAAAGTTTTCTTTCCAAGATTCCGCTCGCCGCGCGCGGATGTTTCTTCAGCGCGCGGAACCTCCTTTATGTATATATATATACGTATGGTACGCGTATGCTTACGCAGTGTCCGCGCGCTCTACTACCATATATATACCAGCTTCATCTCGTAAAAAAAAAAAAAAAAAAAAAAAAATACGCACACTCGAATCTCTAAAATAAAAACTTTTATATGCGCATATCGAACTCTCTATTATTTATGATAATGTGCGTGCGAGGGTGGAAGTTTATTATTCCGCGCGTTAGCTCTGTACTCTCTGAGGCTATATACATCGGACGTACACACACACACAAGCACAGACGGACACACTGTCGCGGACTTGTGTGTGTGGCGCGAAGAGAGGCACAAAATTTATACATCGTTATTTATATTCCGTTATGTGTCGTGTACCGACAAGACTCCGAGCCATTCGCGAGGTAATTTTCGAATGAAAATAAAAATAAAAGTAAAAGCCCTCGTGCCTCGCGTATGTACAACTGGATCGAAACGCAGAGAGGTGTACCACGTTTATCGTAGACGTCGACGTCGTCGTTATATATAAAAAAAAATGCCCTCGCGTTCGCAACGACAATAGATCCGAAATATAAAGAGATAATATTTGGCTCCGATCGACGCAATTAAAATAATCAATTCGCGATTTCGTGAACGCGTCGGAGGTTATAAATATCGTTCACCGTACGCCGAGCAAATTTTGCATTTGCGAGCGTGCGAGCGGCTTGCGTAATATTACACGCGGAGCATCATAGACGATGACGCGTTGAAGCACGAATATAAAATCGATCGCGCTAAGTTAATCATGCGTTTATCGGCGCAACGGAACTCACAAATCCGATCTAAATTTTTCCGATTTACCAAAAGAAACGAAAAAAAAATCCGTCTAATAGACGGAAATTCCAGGCTGGAGTATTGTTATCGAGGCCTGGATACAAGCGCACGGCGCTGAATTATATAAGCATAATCGTAAATATATATATATATCGGGTTTTTCAAAAGCTCGCGCGCAGACGGACACGCAAATGTACATACAAAACAATGCGCGAAACGGTAGGTACATATACGGATTATCGCCGTAAATCGAAGATCTAATTACTTTCGGCCGGGCGATACTCGCGCTGTGCATTTGGCTATACGCGTTTATAAAATATTATCTCTATACGTACAGATAAAACATATACTATACACGAACGATTCTGTATAGAGCGCGCGCGAATAGCTTAATATCGTGCCCAGTATGTGCTTGCGACTGTGGAGGGAAGGAGGAGGAGGAGGAGGAAAAAAGAAGTAAAATGCAATTTCCCACGAATTCGTTCGGCGCTCGATTTAATTCGATCAATGCGGTATTGTGTAGAAAGACACCGTTTGACCGATTGATACGAAACTTCTCAAAAACTCGATCGAATGAAGAAGGTATACAGAAGACGCGATACACTAATCCTGTGCAGTTTCAGCTCTTTTTTTTTAAATTTTATTCTTACCGCTTTGAAAAATTTACAGATGTTCATCAAGAAAATCTGCTTCGTATACCGTGTACGATCAATAGAGCTACAAAAAAAAGATACGTCGTTTTTTTTTTACTTTTTATTATTATTTCGTTATATCCGCACGTCAAAACGTGGAAAATCCCGCGTCGTTAATATTCAACGAGGAGAGAGAGAGAGAGATACATTGAAAATATTTTAACCAGCGTGGCAATCAATTCAACGAGCTGCATCATAAGTATTTGGTCGGACACGCGCACGTACAAAAGCACAACGCCGGCTGATGTATATCAAAATTTTCATAATTATTTCCCTCCAGCAGCAGCGGCAGCGGCAGTTAGCCGCGTGACACATCGTACCGAACGGCGCGCAACGTCGTCCTCTTCGCGCGTATAGTACACACAATACATCAGCTACCGTACCCTATGCTGCATTTATAATAATATACACATCGCGCGGAAATGAGAAATGATGAATACAAGTTATGAAAAAGGCAAGAGAGAGAGAGGCGTCGGACGCGCGGCGTCTAATTAAAATTATATCACAAGACGAGCTAATTATTCGCGATCTCGCGGCATTATTAAATATACATAATAGAGAGATTCATTAATTGCCGTTAAAGTGAATTTTAGAAGCGCTTTATATGAGTACGGAATTCGATTCGCGCGCAAAACTTTGCCCGAATTATATCAGCTGCTTTTGTGTACGTGCAATTTATGCTGTATTCGGAGCCCCCCGATGACGTATCGTTGAAAAAAAAAAAATGAGTAATTTATCGGACCGATGTAGTTTTTACTGCGGGGAGGGCGGGAGGAGGAGAGCATCGATCGAATCGATATATTCCGAAACAGGCGAATGAGAGAGAGCTGAGTTATACGCATGCAGGTGTGCGCGCGCGGGGGGATAAAGCACACACACACACACGAGGACGATGGATATATATTTACACGTAACGACGTACATGTATTATGTTGATTTAGGTAATTGCAATATCTTCGCTGATCATCGGCTTATATTCCACATATCTCACCTGTGCGCTGTCCTTTACCTACCCCCTATTTCCACCCTTTACGTTCGATATACGTGTACATCGCGAAATTGGATCAATGAAAAATTTGCTCTCTCTCTCTCGCTCGGCAAACTTACAAGCGCTCACGCACGCACACGCACACTTTCAATTATCGGATTTTAAGCTGCTACGAAAACATCGCGCGATGAGAACGATTTTTTTTCTCTTCAGTTTCTTATTTGTTCGCAATTTCACGGTTGACATTTGAATTATCGAAAAAGAAAAAAGGAAGAAAAATATAAGTCTAGCATAAAGCGTCCAAAATTTCGAGCACCCACACACGATACATAGATCGAGCGATCCGCGATTACTTCATAGTTACAAGGGACTATACATTTCCCGAGTCTTAAATGCCCCTCGATTTACTTCTCGCAACTTACTCTCTCTCTCTCTCTCTCTCTCTCTCTCGCAGGAGCTGTCAGTTAGATCTGACTAAGGAGCCTATCAGACGGCCCTTAATTGGTACTGTATTCCATTATACGATTGGAAGGGAAAATATATACGAGGAAAGTACACAAGCCGCCGCGCGTGCAGCACGGGTAGAATATATATAAGTATCATTAATTGTGGTTGTCTGCTGCTGCTGTGATATAGAAAGAGACATCCCCGGTATAAACGCGCGCGGACACGGAACGAAGAGCACAGCGCTTAATACGTGCTCGAAAGTACCCCGTAATTTGGGGAGGATAAAAAAAAGTACGCAATTTCCAAATTGAGTCCGATGAATTAGATGAGCTTTTTTTCAACAGAAGTTGAAGTTTTCGTTAAATTTTCCAGTGAATACGTCAAAAATAAAACTGAAATATTCGTTGCGCTTTCATTCCCGACAGCCGAGACCACGACGACGGTCTTCACGAACGTCTCGTCGAACAACACGTCGCCGGAGCGCACGTCCTATCATCATCATCATCATAATCAGGCGGACCAGCAGCTGCAGCCGGACATGTCGTCGACGCAGCTGGACGCGTCGTCGCCCGGAGGGCGGCCCTACGGCGCGACCTCGACCACGACGCAGGCCCGTCGCAAAAAGATCGCCGCCGACTCGAGGCGCGAGCGCAAAGCCGCCAAGACCCTGTTCATCATCACCGGGGCATTCGTCGTCTGCTGGATGCCCTTCTTCACGATCGCCCTGCTGCTGCCCATCTGCCAGGATTGCGACATCAACGCCCTGCTCTTCGCCTTCTTTCAGTGGCTCGGGTAAGATTAATTCGACGAGGAGAGAGAGAGAGAGAGTTTTCGTTTGAATGAAAAGACACGGTGATGCATTTAATTAATTTTTACAATTTGTTTGTTTTAATGAAGTGGAAAATTGAACGAAAATAAATTTATTGAGACTTATGGAAAAAAAATAGTCAGCGTTTCCGAAAAGCTTGCTCAGTTTCCAGCGACTTTTCGCTATCAAGGAGAGCACCCGAGCTCCGGGTCATGGATTTGCTCCAAAATTTTTTGGGGTCTCCTGGTACCCAATACTGAAGCTCTCTGTGCTTAGTTTTATCTCATGGGCCTTAGGGCCCATTTTTTTAGAGGATTTTCCACATTATAAAATTTTTTTTGTCATTTTCTATATCGTACATAAACGAAAAAGTGCAACGATAAAAAGTTTTAAAATTTTTCAAAGAATTTGCTTGAATTTTTTCAGAATTTTTGGGACCATCTACCGCTTAATTCAAGAGGCCCGAATTTGACGCTTTTTTTATAGATTTTAGGACTGCTAGATATATTTCATAATTGTACGTTTAGTTTGAGAATTGTAACCGTCAACGAGAGTTTCGCGCGTAAATTTACGTATATATAAGTTCGCGCGCGACACGATTGTTATTGTCCGTCGATCGGTCGCGATAGCGACAGCCTCGCACTGCGTAACGAGCGAGTCGGATTGTAGTCTTTGTTTTTATTCGTTTAATTTTAACTATAATTACCAATAAAGACGTTCATTGTTTTTAACTGTACGATTGACGCAAGAGATCATTTATTTAAATACCTACATTCTACCCTTCTCGGCGACTGAATAAACTACTATTTTAACAGGACTTCTCACAGAGAGTGGTAGATGGTCCCAACAATTCTGAAAAAATTCAAGCAAATTCTTTGAAAAAATTTAAAACTTTTTATTATTGCACTTTTTCGTTTAAGTACTTCTATACCGATATAGAATATAACAAAAATTTTTTATAATGTGGAAAATCCTCTAAAAAATGGGCCCTAAGGCCCACGAGATAAAATTAAGCGCACGGAGCTTCAGTATTGGGTACCAGGAGACCCCAAAAAATTTTTGGAGTAAATCCATGACCCGGAGCTGGAGTGGTCTCCTCGTAAGTCGCACCAGTATTTCACCAAGTTGATTTCGATAGCCTCGCAACTTATTGAATTGCATACTAAAGCGGCTCATTGTGGCATCGATGGCTATACTTACACAAAGCTGTCAGTACGTCAATGTTGTTGATGCATGTACACCGGAGCAAATGACAATGTAACGACTCGTTTCGTACGAGTGTCGCGCATCAATACAAACAATGCTGCATGCAGCATCTGCTTCTTGCTTTTACAAGTCGTACGTATATTGCTAACCGAGAGAGAAACTCCCTCAAACATAACACTGATAAATAAACACTGTAAAATGTTTTTATATCGTTGTCCACCGTACGACGTTTAGGCGTTGTCTGCGTATACGGTTAAACTGTTCCTTATTATCTATTCTATATATCATAACCTTAGGTGTCATATGTGATCATGAACTTTTAAATTCTATCAATAGGTGGGGTTTTGAAAACTCGCAAGAAGCAAAAAAATGTTTTTTTGGTATAAAACACAGCTGCGTCATAGTACAATCCTCACATCACTTGTGGCTCATTTGGCGTAGAGGTATCCATCCCTGAGTATTACAGAGATTTATATCGGTATCATTGTTGAAAAGCAGTCCCATCACCTACGCGTTCTGACCGCCCTCTGTCATCGAAGTCACGGCAAAGGGCAGCGGTGCGTCGCCCGTTCCCGTCGCGATGACATTCGGATCCACCCGGCCCTGCTCGAGGAATCTCCTCGCGACGTCTGCACAGCTGTTCTCCGAGTCTCGTCGCTGTAGTTCACCTCGACTCTGTCATAAATGTGAAAGAGACAAGGAAACATATCCAGGTGTTATACGTATGATGTACTACTGTGATTCGACGTGGAATCGACTGATCAGGCTCGTCATAGTAGCCAACCTCGATCAAAAAGTCGGCTACTTGTTCTGTCGCTTTCATGTGATCATCAACATCCATCGATGCCTTGAGAAACAATCGATTTCATCCCTCTCAAATACTTTTTGAATATTTGGTCAAAACTTTCTCTCACATTTTTGGAGTAAAAGTTCCGAGGCCGCTGGTTTTTTTTATTGATTTTAGGACTTCTTTAATAAATTGGTGCATAATTCCAAAAATTTTTAAAAAGTTTAAGCAGATTATTTCAGAAAGGTTGAAACTTCTTTGTCTTTGCATTTTTTCGTTCAAGTGCTCGTTTCTCGAAGTAAAAAATCGAAAAGGTTTCTGAATAAAATAGAAAACGCTTTTAAAAAGAGCCTCAAGGTCCATGGGTCCAAACGAAGCATAGTAAGCCTTTATTATCATGCATCTTCAGGAGACCCCAAAAAAATGTTTGGAAAAGATTCGTCGCCTGTAGCTGACGTGGTCTTCCTCGTTGCGCACCAAATGGTCAGTTGCAACAGTCGCAGTCGCAGCCTATCCAAGTTTTAGGTGAAAGTAGCCGTTGTAACGCATCTGTAGTTTCGTATATATGCCGCGTCATTCGGTAAAGATTAGAAAGTAAAAGTCCAGCGGAGTAAAAGCAGATAGTACAAGTTACCACGCCGCAACGTGAACAGCTACATACGAAGATCACATCGACCGAGTAAACACGTGCGGGGCACTCGCGACTAAAATTAAAATATTTCGTGATATTGTGTACCGTGTGTGAGTGCGCAAAATGTTTCGTTCGGTCTGTGACCAGCTCGTTCAAGAGGATCATCCTATGGATTGGAGTATCGAAAACGAGAGACTTGAATTTCTTCGTCGACTCGAGCCTTCCATCAGCAATTGGACGGGCCAACCTCCAAATCTACTGCACGTTTTTCGAGCCGAAGAAATCGAGTGTCTTCTATCGGATTGTGTGAAAAACATCTTCGAGGGCGGAAGCTGTTATCGAGCATTCGTTGAGTTTGTAGTTCGCAGCGGCTACGAGGACGTGTCCCAATTAGTCGACCAAGACGGCAAGCCACAGTTGCGTCGAACCACGCCGATACATCGTGCGGCCAAACGCTCTCAGCACGTCGACTTGGCTGCCGTAGTCCGCGAGCTGTTCCAAGTATACAAGTGCGACGCGAATTACGTCGACGAGACCGGATTGACGCATTTCCACGCGGCCGTCCAGTTCGGCTGCGACGACGTCGTCGAGAAATTTTTAGAACTCGGCCAGGACCCCAATCTCGCCGTGCCGGAAACACTCGACTCGCCGCTGCACTTGGCGATGATCCACCACAGAAAGAAGATCGCCGAGATGCTGCTGAGAAGCGGCGCCAGGCCGACCTCGCCCAATGCAAAACGACAGACTCCTCTGCAAATCCTTTTCACGGGTCAGTGCGACGACGCCGACTTTGTAAAGACGATGCTCGAGCTCAGCAATGGCGAATACACGGAGCGGGTCGCTGGGCTGCTGGCCAGAGCCGTGTACCACGGCCTCGCGAACGTGACCAAATTGCTGCTGAGAAAATGCGCCGAACCAGACGTCAATTCAGCGTTGCCGGAAAGATTCTACGAACGATGGACGAGGGCGTTGCGCTTTTTCAAGAAATTTCACGACGACGACTTGTCGGAGCTCATATCGGAGATGCTCGAGGAACGACAGCGGGAAGCGTTGCGCGGTGCTGTGCGCGACGGAGATGGAAAAAAGGTCGAGTCGCTGCTGAGACGCGGCGTGAATCCGAACTCGGCCGACAAGCACGGACAGACGGCTCTGCACATCGTTTGCAAAAAAAGAGACGACTCGGTGGAGGCGTTCTTCGAGATCTGCGACGCGATCGGGCGCAAGGTGAACTTGGACGCCCGGGATAAATGGGGCTATACGGCGCTACACTGGGTCGCGCAAACAGGACGCAAGAAGACGGTCGAGCTGCTGCTGAGACGAGGCGCCAATCCGGATCTGGCCAGAAAGCGGGAAGGATCGACGCTTCTGCATGACATTTGCAGCCGATACGCTTGCTTTGGATTCTCCGTGGAGACGTTGTTCGAGATCGTTGACGAGCGAACGCAGCGACGCAGGGTGCGCGTCGACGCTCGGGACCGTAAGGGTAACACGCCGCTGCACTTGGCGCTGCGCCACAGCAACGCGAGGATGGTGGCGGTACTGTTGAAAAACGGTGCCGATCCGAACTTGACGGACGCGGAAGGATCGACTGCTCTACACTTGCTTTGCAAAAACAACTACTGTCTCTTTTATTTTAGCGTAGAACAATTCTTCGAGATCTGCGACGACAATCGTCAGCTTTTGCAGATCGACGCGAAGGACAATTTGGGCCGGACACCGCTGCAATGGGCCGTGGCGAACGTCAAGCCGCGCGCGATCCGCGCGCTCTTGGATCGTGGCGCCGAGATCGCTCGCTTCGTTTTCCCCACCGAGGATTACTACGGCGCGGGCTTCGACCCGATTGATTGTTGGTTTTTTTTAAAATTGAAGAAGGCCTCCGACGCTTTGCTCGCGATGGAATTTCTCGAGAGCGGAGGTTACGAGCCAGACCGAAGCGACGTTCTGATAGTGATGAAATTTTTCGCCAAGCACAGATTTTTCGAGAAATCGCCAGCCGTTGAAAAATTGTTGAACGACGAGGAGTTTGTGAAATTCGCGAAAGGGACAATGATAAAAGCGGACCTGTCGGTCTACGACCTGATCCTAATGCGACCCGAAGAGGCGGAAACACTACGACTGCTACTCTTGAATTCGGACCACGAGAGAAAATTTCGTTGCTTTCCCGAGAAGTACAGTCAGGCTTGTCACGTGTATCTCTTCGAGAAAATGTCGAGGAGATTTTTTCGCAACTGGGCCCTGGTGTGTTTCATGGAGCTGATCAATTACCGACTGCCACTCGAGTCCTGTGAGATCATCATCGACGAATCATTCACGAACGAAGATTTGTGTAATATTTGCTTGGCAACTGCAATCGAAAGTTGATCATGATGGGAATATTCCTAGTATTTTTGAATGTGTGATGATTCTTAACGTTGTACTTTTTTAAGGTCCATCGAATAAATAAATTAAAACCACGAGTTTCGCCAATTATGTTTATTCATTACCTTCGGCGTCTGATCGAGAACAAAATTATCCAAATACGCGCAAATACAAATATTATATTAAAAAACAAAATTATACTGAAGCTCGAAATAAAAAATTCAAATCCTCAATAAATAAGCGTGAGAAATCTTTTCTTCCTCGTTAGTTAGAGCTTAGTTCTCCAAACCTTCCGTGATTTGTAATTTCATGCTTTTTTTGCAAATTTTTCAAGATTTACTATCTACAGTATCTACTTTCGTATAATGATGTTTGTAGTTAATTGAGGAGTCATACATCGATTCATTCCTCTTCGTCTTTTTTCTTAGATAAACCACAGTTTAATATCAATCTACATTTTCAACATAAATTTGACATCTTCGAGCCCTAAAAAATGTAAAAAAGGTTGCAAAATAGGCCTTTGCATCTTAAAATAGCTTATTTTTGCAATTTTAATCTTTCAGCACTGTGCACAACGTTCAGATCAGAGTTATTCAGGTGTAAGTTCCTGATAGGCTTCAAAATCTTCAGAAAAGTATCCTGCATAGACCGTCGCGTCAGCAGGCCTAATCATTTTTTCAAATTCAATGACAAATAAAAACTAGAAATTCGATAAAGTAAATCTAAAATATTAATCAATGTGCTGCATGCAGCATCTGCTTCTTGCTTTTACAAGTCGTACGTATATTGCTTACCGAGAGAAAAACTCCGTCAACCAAAACACTGATAAATAAACCCTGTAAAATTTTTTTATATCTTTGTCCACCGTACGACGTTTAGGCCTTGCCTTCGTATACGGTTAAACTGTTCCTCATTATCTATTCTTCTATATCTTTTACATAGTATTTCGTATCATCGTAACATTTATTAGGTGTCATATGTGATCATAAACTTTCAAATTCTATCAACAGATGGTGTTTTGAAAACTCGCAAGAATCAAAAAAAATTTTTTTTTGTATATAACAGCTGTCATCTTCTCAGCTACTTATTCTGTTCTTTCCATATGATCACGGAATCGTGTAGCTAACCGAAAAGTATCTATGAAAAATGAAATTAATTCTTTTTTAAAATTCAATGACAAATAAAAACTAGAAATTTGAACAAGTAAATCTAAAATATTAAGTTAGCTGTCTATAGACAGCCATCAGAATTGAAACTTGTCAAAATTAATTGATTAAAAACATCAAGCTATGAAAGTAGAAAAATTTTGAAAAATTTACAAAAATAAAGTCTTGAAAAAATTAAAGTTCAAACACATCAGAATTAAATTGTTTTGCACAGGGTTTTAAGTTTGAAAAATAGCTTTATTAATATTTATAAATGAATTATAGGAATGATAATATTTTTATGAGTGGCAGCGGTTGTTTAAATCTATTTATATGAATCCGAAATAATTAATAACGCAAGACACAAAAAACAAAATAGCGCAATTATGTCGATCGCTATCGAGAGCTTTGGCTTTGATCGGCTGCGATCGACGACCCGATCAGGTCAGCAGCGGCAGCAGCTGAATCGGCGCGTCAATAACACGTGAGCTCGATGAAAGAATCCAGCGTCCAGCGGTGCACGAAGTATCTCAGAATCGACTCGCACAGCTGCTGCTCGCAGGCCTCTCTGTGCTCGTCGGGCAGCCGCCACTGTCGGCACTTGCGCCAGAAGTCGCGGTAGTCCATGCTCGCGACACGATTGGCCACCTCCTCGGGTCGCAGCCGCAACAGGTCGTGCAGCGTCAGGCTCGCCTCGATCTCGATGCTCTTCACTTTGCTCACGAAGTCCTGGTCCTCGCGCCAGAGCCGCTTGAACTGTGCGGCCGACGACTTGTCGAGCAGTCCGTGCACGACGAACAGCTTCATGATGGTGAGCACGTCGCCGCGGGCCAGCTTGTAGCCGGCCCTCTCCTCGAGGCTCTTGAGGGTGGCCAAGAAGCCCGACGCCACACGCAGCTTCAGCTCGTGCTTGTGGTAATCCTTGAAGGCGCCGAACGCCTCGTCGAAGTGGGCCTCGCTGGGAAACTGGAAGCCGGTAAGGTCGGCGCCGCGTTTCGCCAGGGCGCCGATCACGCTCGGCTTGAGGGTCGCCACGGCCCACTGCAGCGGCGTGCGGCCCAACTTGTCCTTAGCGTCGATCCGCACCGGCTTGTTCAATTCCTTGGTGACGTTGAAGAACAGCTCCGTCACGTCGTCGTCGTACTTCCGGCCGCAAATCACGTGCAGGGGCGTCAATCCCTTCTCGCTGGCCGCGTTGGGATCGGCGCCTCTCTCCAGCAGCCACTTGATCGCCGTCTTGGCGCAGTCGCCTCTGGATCGCAAGGCCAAGTGCAGCGGCGTCCTGCCCTCCTTGTCCCTGGCGTCGATCTCCACGGGCTTCGAGAGCCTCTCGCCGATCTCGCGGAACTTGTTCGCCATGTCCTCGTCGAACCAGTCCTGGCTCATCTGGTGCAGAGGCGTCCATCCCTTGGCGTTGGCCGCGTTCGGCTCGGCGCCCCTCTCAAGCAGCATCTCGATCACCTCCGGCTTGTTGTACCTCACGGCGAAGTGGAGCGGCGAGTCGCCCGTCTCCGTCGCCACGAGATTCGGATCCACCTGGCCCTGCTCGAGGAATCTCCTCACCACGTCCACGCAGCCGTTCTCGCAGGCCACGTGGAAATGGGTCAGGCCGGTCTCGTCGGCGTAATTCACGTCTACCCTGTCGTAGATCTCGAACAGGTCGGGTATGAGTTTTTCCCTCACCGGGAATATGAATGCGGCCGCGCGATGTACGAGGGTGGCTCGGCGCGAGTTAGGCACGCCGTTCTCGTCGAGCTGGTCCGGGGCCGGCTCGTCCTTGAAGCCGCTGCCGACCACGAACTCGATGATATCTTTGCCCGGATACTTGTGCTCGGCCTCCTCGCCGCAGAACTCCACGGATTTATCGAGAAGAGTCTCGATCTCCGAGCGCCGAATGGCGACCACGAGATCGGATCGATTCTTCATGTCTTTGAACAAGGAATAGGAATTGTGAAGATACTGGTATCTCCTTTCGGAACACTCGCGTCTGAACTCCTCGCGGATGATCTTCAACTTTTTGCCAAAATCATCGTTGAGCTGGTCCACGGCCATTTTCATGCGCTTCTCGGGCGAGGACATCAGTCTTTACTTTCACTTTTTTTTTTTTTATTTATTCTCGCGAAAATAACTTGCTGGTGTGCCGCAAACGGTGCGCGATATATAGATGTATTGTTTACGCTTTGGTGTCGTAACGAGTACTGAACCGACTGTACACGTATAGGGCGCTTATTTGAATTTATAACGTAACGAAGAAATTTCGCTTCAAAACATTAGGAACGATTTGCCAATTACTGAATGAAAGATCTATAAGCAAATCGATCGATTTAATTGTGCTTTCACGTCGAGGAAAGTCTGCGATGCTTCTTATAAATCGACTTTTGCCAGAATTTTTGACCGACGGCTGTACGTAAATATGTAACACTTTTGAGCAATGATTTTAAAGGACGAGCAGCGATATAGCAGTAATGTATAAAGAACCGGCCATACCCACATAATACACCCGTATGTATGACTATAATGTATAGAAATTCAGCTTCAAAGCCTCAACGGCCGGAGAAATAATCAGAGTCACATGAATATACTTTACTCCTGAATTTCTGAATGAAAGAGAATATGTATTCATCATTGACGGCTGATATACTAATGACTCTCGTTTTCAATAAATAAAAAAATCACTCGAGCATCGAGTGATTAAAAGCCCGTCAATTAAAACGTTCAAAGTCGTAATTGATACAACAAAGTAGTATATGGTATACACGAGCAGCGGAGGGGGTTAATTTAACTGCGCCTGATTCAATTGTATCGTCGTCTTTAAAAAAAAAAAAAAACTAATCGAGTTTCGTGTACCACTACCTATATACCTGCTAACCTACTGCTCTGACTGACTGTCGAGCGCGCGCGCGAGTTTCGAATTTACTTTTCGCCGTCCCCGATTGTTTGCCTGCAAACATCGTCGTCGCCTTTTGTTTCTCTCTCTCGCAGTAGTATAATGACGTCGAATGTAATTTACTCAACTTATTTAGCAGTGTGCTCGCGCGCAATTTACGAGGGGCTGATTTCTACATATATATATACCAAGCCCTTCGTACGCGCAGCGACTGACAAATTTTATCTTCATTTTCATTCATTCATTTATTTATTTTTTTAAACGAAATAATATAACGTTGCTCCCGTTGTTTCGGCAGGTATCTGAACTCGACCCTGAATCCGGCCATCTACACGGTCTTCTCGCCGGAGTTTCGCAACGCCTTCAAGAAGCTGCTCTGCAGGCACCGGAGACGCAGACGCGCGGTCAATCGCAGGCAGGGGGTCGTGGTGCGTCATTACATCTGATCTGTGTGTGTGTCTGTGTGTTGGTGCAAGTGCACACACATATACACTGTACGAACCCGCTTATTACGTGTGTATACGGCGCGCATGATAATCATCGTCAAACGAGTGTGTGTCTAGGTGCAGAGGCATACATATATATATCTGATCGAGACATGATATTTGCACGCATACATATATACAGGACCAACGAGCAAGAGACGACGACGACGACGACATGTGTGTAATTGACATCGTGCGCGCGCGTGCGTGTACGTGTACATATATAGGATATTTGGGATCACGTTTACTCGATAATAATTGTACCATGAACGATTTTCGATGATTAATTATTATCGCTGTTATTACGATTATGATTTCAAAGAAAGAAAAAAGAAGCGTAAAACGACGTGTTTTTTCAGATGATAATCCTCCGTGTATGTTCGTTCCCGATTATATCAAAATGACAACAAAAAAAAACGTATAAATATTATATATGTATAAATGTCCCCGATTGCATCGGAGGAATGCTTATTTGTTACATAATAATAAATATATATATACAAATCGTATACATCATTATATACATGGTTATAACGAGTAATGCATTTTTAATGAATAAAAAATTTATCAAGACTCAAATAACTCATTCTTTGCTCTTCGAACTTGTATTCCAGCCCCGCTCGCCGCAGTCAGCAATTTATTTGTTCAATTTCAGAAGTGTCTTCGCTTTTGTACATAATGCAAAGTATATACCGAGCACGAGCCATCTACTCGAGAAACGAGAACCGCGCCTTCGGCGAATTTTATTTCCATGCCAGGCATTTCTTCAGGGGGGGCTTATAATATATACGTCGATATTTTGTATGGTATTGAAAAATAGGAATTACGCGGAAAATAATTAAAGGAAGCGAACGGATGACAACTTGAAATACGAAATGGTCGTTGTATGTTATTTAAAATTTCAAAACCAATGGGAAATGAAATTGTTTCGATTGACGTATATGTTACAAAGGACGAGGCAAAAATTAATACGGCGATTCGCTTAATCGTTTATTTATAGAAATTCGAACGATGAACCACGACGCGTAATATAAAATAATTTTTCGATCGTGCCCCCCCCCCCTCCCACCGCTGCGATATATATGATAAATTAGCAATCGGTTATGCGATGATATATTACGTGTATGGAAAATTATCGACAAAGTGACGCGGAAATATTTCTCTCGCTTAGTTATAGATATATATGGGTCAAAATAATACTTTTTTACAAAACCGTGCGCACGTATGTCACCGATCTTGACGCGCTTTTGGTATGTTATAGTACATGGTAAAAAGGTCCCAAAAAAAAATTTTTAGACCCCCTCCCCCCTCCTACCCCCCACTTCCGGTATAAACGTCCATTTTCGATCTATATTTTTTCTGAGGA